TATTTACTTTCTTGAGTAAATTAAAGAAAAGTGTTTTTTTTTGTCAAATTTTATATATAAATTTGGGTGAGTCAACTCATTTGATTTATATATGACAACAACCAAGGAGACATGTCTCATATCTGTGAAGGTTCGAAAATAGCGATATAGTTTCCAGAGGGCTAGGTAATTTACCAGATGAAACCAAAAAGATTCCGGGAAACGAGAAAATTTTTAGGTGTCCCAGAATTTATGAAAACAGCTGTAAGTGAAAATTGTTCCTGGGTCAATTTTACCAAATACCCCTATCAAGATCACGGGGTATTTTTATTATGCTTATTTTTTTAAAAATTTCTATTTTTTTGTAATGAAAAAACAATTTTGTAATGCGGACCAAAATTTCTAAGATCTTCGGCCGTTAGCCAATCAAAATCGAGGATCTGCCGCGCATTTTTTGTGCGGCACCTAGGGTAAATTAAAAGAGTTGTCAGTTCGCCTCTGTAGAACAAGAACCAACGTGTCCATTAATAAAACATTCGCTAAATCACCTTAGTCATCCTCTGGCGAGTTGCCTTGTATTATTTTTCGCTCATCGTTCAAAACATTTCGTATTTCACATATCCAGGTTATGAGTTACATAGGTGACGATTACATAGTTTATACAAATGCAATATAAAAAGTATTGAATCACTTTCACATATGCCTTTTTATCATTGTGCAGTATTTAAGGCTGGGATCTCTTAAAATACATAATGTCGTCTCATGAAAATGCAAATCGAAGTGTTAGAATATTACAAAACAAACGACAACCAAACGAGTGATAATTTTATCAAAGTAGATAACAGTAAGCCCTATCAGTATTTCGAAAGAATTTAACATTCACTCAATTACTTGGATTATCTTCAAGCATTTGTATAATTAGAACAGCTATTCCAAAAACCTTCAAAACATAATTTATTGTTTTTATATTTATTTCCATTCTAAAATATGTAAAAAAAAGCACTAATTACTTTCACCTAGAAACAGTATGCTGCTCTATTGTACAACTCGCAAGTTTCTTTATGGCGATCATTGCCGTATTCAGAAATATCTTTATAATCCGCGCCGCATCTGAAGTGCTCAAAGGAAGTATAACGAATGTTGTTAAAAAAAAATCCAATTAACACAAGGAAACCAATTTGATACAGCCAACAAAATTCGTGATGACATGTGCAGGTCATATGACTACATCCAGCTATAATTGAAAGAAACATTGAATTACACAGATAATTTAAAAACATAAAAATCAAAAACACCTCCTACCTATCTTATAAATTCTAATTTTACATTTGGGACAAGGTTTGGTCTCACGTTCGATTGCATGAAGTGTGGCACCTTCAGGGGCCTCTATCTCAATATCGTATTCTGCACAAGTGCGGCCTTCATGCCACGGAATAGAATGCTTATAGCAAGTCATTTTTCCACATGCGGCACAAACCATTATTGGTGCATTATCTATTAGAATTAAAACTTGGTTAACTCATTTTTGATTTAAATATAAATGAATTTTATTCCCAACCTTGTTCAAAATGTTCTTGTCCTGAACCGCATGCATCTGAACACCATCGAAAATCTTCCAATTTTCGTATAGCTTGGCGAAGACAAAGATGGTCATATCTAGGAAAAAAGAAAAAAAAGTTACTTCCTTAACGGTGCGAATTAGAAACGGGCAAAATGCATGTGTATATATGTTAAGTCTACCTTTTAAACAAATCCTCACTAGTAATTCGTTTCATGTCTTCATATTCCATCAAGACCTTGCAATCGTTAATTTCGACATTACCTTTTCCATTCAATTGGTAATCAATATGTTTGTTAAGACACGTTCTGCATACTTTGTGGTTACATTTTGTAGTTGTGCTCATGAAATTGGTTACGGGTACGTCATCACAACAAATTGCGCATTCAACTTCACTCATTTTTTGTATTAAATTTGTTAGAGTTTCTTTTTTTGTTTATCTCCGCATAAACCGTGCTGTATTTAAAGGATTTTGCCTGTCCGTGTTACAAAATGGGGTCTTTGCCTTGAAAATCAAGTATGGGACATATGATTTACTATATTCCGTAACTCGATTTTCAAGGCAAAGACCCCAAATGTTAAAACTAGCGTTAAAATGGTCATGCATAGTACCGTGCTTGGGAAATTGCAGAGCTCTGGTTAAATCTGGTTAGGATCATAGTGATTAGAGAATCCTTTGTTCCGTGGTCGGTGTTAACATACTGTCTCTCCGGCAAGACAAAATTTTATATAATTGTTTTCTTTTATCTTTACGTAAATTATAAAACTATAAGGCAAATAAAATTTTACGACATTATGATCTTGTTCGTATCCCTACTCTCTGGAAAAAAAATTACTCTTAAAGTGTTTGGAACTGACACTGTAATGAGTGTCAAGCAAAAAATTCAGGATAAAGAAGGTATAATTTAGCTTGGGATAGGTAAAGATGGTATGTGTGCTCACTCAGAAATATTGTTAATAGGAATTTTGGTGAATAGACAAAAGCTAGTCTACCTAACTGAAGAGTTAAGCAATGAAGAAACGTTGGATTACCTTTGTTTCTGATCCGAAGGAACTATGTATTTGTTTTCGTGTATGAACCTGTTCGTGGTTTTACCTGATGGAAAAACAACTACTCTTCAAGTATTTGAAGATGACACTGTCGAAAGTGTCAAGAAAAAACTTTTTGATAAAGAAGGTATAATTTGGCTTTGAAAAAACAAAGGTATATGTTATTGGTCGCTCATTCTGTGACTTATCTAATAGGAATTCCAGTGGAAGAGCAAAGGCTTTAATTACACAACTAAAGTATTAAACGAAGACCAAAAAAAGCTGCATGAATATAATGTCCCTAACGAAGGAAAAATGTATATGACTTTGAGATTGTTAGGAGGTAGTGGTGTAGATCAATCATAATTGCAAAAACAGGTTAGCTATATGTTAAAGTTAAAAATTTAAGTTTATCTATATGAAACTTTTTTTTTTTTTATTAGCGTTACTACATTAGAGATGAAGATCGATCATTTGTTTTTTTTTGACCGTGACCGACCATAAAATTATTTTGTACGGTCGGTCGATAAGGGATCGAAATATATAAAATATTATCGATTATATATTAAATAATTATAATCGATCTAAAAAATCCAATCGATCATTAAATTTTTATATTCGATTTAAAAAATTTTTTAATTATTCAGTATAGCGCAGAAAATCTAATACCTCAGATAAAATAAAGGTCAACTGTCTCGTTGGGAGATATGCTAAATTTGTCATTCACAGAGTAGCTTATTCATGAGTGTACGTAGAATAAATATATTATTTGTCATTTTTTGTATAATGATACATCTATTTCAAGAATAATTACACTGCCAATTTCCCATGTTGTAAACTTCTCATGAATGTAATAAACAATACGATATCATTACAAATTTATTTTAATTAATCATACTATCAGTTACCGTAAAGTATGGAAAATAAGCACAGCACCCTCTACCCTACTTTTTTCAATTTCAGACTAGCGGAAATAGCAATAAAACCTTTAATCAAGTTATTCCCGTTAATCTGAAATTGAAAAAGCAGGGTAGAGGGTGCTGAGCTTATTTTCCATACTTTACGTTAATTCTACTTTGAATACTGGACTATAATAGGTACTGTCCATTGGGCCAATGAACATAATCCAATTGGGTGTCTGCTAAGCCACATTTTGGTTTATTGGCCAACCCTGCTTTAGCAATATTGTGTTTATAAAAAAAAAAAAAAAATCAGAATTGTAAAATTGTAATTTTGGTAACAAGTTACTAAAATAATAAGTTACTAATAAAATAACTTGTATTTTATTTTTAAAGTTTTAATAATATCACAAAGTTTTTTAATAATAGCTGCACTATTAAAATTAGTAGTAATTTATTGATAATTTTTAGTATAAAACTTTATTAATTGTGATTGATTAATATGAAATCGTATTAAATTGAAATATTATACAATGTAAAATTATACAAGCCACCGAAAAATAAAAATTTTTGAGGAGTTAGGGTTAGAGTTAGAGGTTAGTTTAGGGTGGAGCTTATAATAAACAAGTATAGGTGGGTTTTAGAGAAACCCTCATTTCATTTGTATTTTTACAAATTTTTGCAGATTTATATTTAACTTTTTAACACAAAAGATTAATGATATAATACATACAGTGTTTTATTTAAATAATAATAGCCGTCAAAATAATTTTACAGTATATATATATATATTAATTCCTGATTTTGGTAAACTGTTAAATTTACAGATATTGTTTTACAGGTTTTTCAAAATACAGTATATAAGCACATAAGTAAATAATTTTTAACTTCATATAATATATATATTATTATCTGGAGATTTGAAATTTATTATTGTTAATATAAAGTATATATTTATAATTTACAAAATGCCATTTTTAATATCACCTCAAAATGATATTCTTTAAACACATAATTAGTAATCATATAGAAATGAATATCATTCTTGGTTGGTGGGTGGTACCAAATTTATTACAAAATGGTATATCGAACATAATAAAACAGAATGCATACCTCCGGTAGCTTGTAATACATAATTACTCTAAATTGTTGATTATAATATATAAGGTATTAAATGACCTGGTATCTCAATTAATTACATATGTGAAAAATTTGTTGTTCAAATTTATCCAGAGTCATTATTTCAACCTATTATTATAAGCCAATTGAATTTTAAATTTAATAGCAAAAATAATGCAACAATATTAATAATAACTTACCCCATATACGGTTGTCATTTCCAATGAATACTTTTGATCATCAATAATAATAAAATGTCTATAACTTTTGTAATACTTATTAAATAGAATGTTCATTGAAGAATAACAGTATTCGTTCATATCAACAGTCTCCTATTACAATATAAAAAAAAATACTTTAAACGTGATCACCGTAAATGTATATATATGGCGTGACCTGCCTGGAGTTGCAACTTCAGACGCCTAAAGTAATATTAATCTAATTTTCAAGGGCTTAATTTTGTTAGGTGCGACTTCAGGCACCAGAAGTTGCAATTCAAGGACGGTATATGTGTATTACCGAATGAAAACTTATAAGAATTTATATTTTCATTGTACCGACTTAAAATTCGGAAGAATTGTGATATTACGTAAATGAAATACGTTATTACATTTGGTGTTCTAGTCATTTCAATAGTATTTGTTAACACTGATCGTACAATGATTAAATTACGTAATATCAAAATTTTCAGGGGCTAGGTCTGATACGACGTAAATTTAAACCTATAAATACTAACAGGTTTTCAATTGGCAGTATTCATACATTACCTCATCCTTAATTTCATCCGCTAGTAGATATTTAACTGAAACACATTCATTGATTAAAGAAGACATTTCATCACATAATCTTCCAAGCCTATTTCAATAAAACGTTAGCTAAAGTGTCAAAAAAACACGAATAATAAAACAATACTAACATATAATAATGTGAATTATATTGTGTCAAATATTTCTTTTTCAGTTTTTCAAGAATTAACGTAGGAATTTTTAATTCCCACCCTGGATTCTAATGGTTATTATCCAAAAAACATATATAGAAACATATATTAGGAACTTAATAAACACATCGTAAATACTATAATATTCCAAATTGAAAAAGATATATATACATGGTTAAGAAATCGTTGCATGTTTCCTAAAATCTGATCATATTTCAAAAGAGCTCTTTCTGTTATTACAATAATACCACCTATAATCAAATCATAATATTTAATATTTCGCAGTAACTCATAAACTTATAAGAAAAAGTATACACCTGAAACTAAAATTTCACTTGGAATTAATCCAGGTTCTTCAATTAGATAGAACTTAACCCCCTGCTTATACCTCAAATCCATATAATTAAGTCCGGGAGAAGGAGTTTTTTTGAAGTTTTTTTGATAAATCTATAAGAATTAAAAATTAAAGTTATCTTACAACGGTCAGTGAGTAATAAGTTAAAACAAATGAGTAATTAATTACCAGTATACAATCAATATGCGGATCAAGAATTGTCGTTTCCCTTGCACCGACAGATATCATAAAATCGAATATTTGGTCACTTTGATTTTTTTCAACTAAAATAAATTTTGATTCTTCTAGGTCCGACAAAGTTTCAGAAGACCATTGCATTAAATAATTCATAGGAAATTTGTCTTTTTTATAGCGTAACATGATAAAAGGTTCTGTAGGACGCTCAATTCGAAGTTGGGTACACAAAGAAGAATAGGGAGGTATCAAAAATAGAACCCATGAATTTAACGAAATTACCGCCATCTACATTGATACTTTATTTAGGATATAATATTACAATAAATAGAATCAAAAAACCTTGATGTATAATTAATATATTACCTCATCTTTTTTTCTAAGCTCTTTTGATTCAAGGTGAAGGTCGGATTTTTTTCCATCATGTTCCGACGCTAGGTAGATAGCGTAAAATGGTTCGCTTGAATCTTTTTCTTTACCTCTCGCCGCATCATGCTCGATTACTTTAACAAGTAGTTTCAGTGATTGAACACGTTCAATCACAAGTTTATCCGTTCGTCGTATTTCTTGACTAGACAAAATTTTATAATTAAATATTATACATTAACGTGTTAAATGGAAAATAATTTAACGGGTTTAATTAATGACACTTACAGGAATTGTGGGTCCTTTTTAAATAAAATCATCATATTAAGAGTTATCTCACCAATAAATTTCTCGCTATAATCGTTTTTTGCAGAGACAATTTTCTTATACAATCGTCCACACCAATTATGGTCGTCCCTCACTGGTACTGATAACATAGGCTCATGCTGATCATTAGTACATATCAAGTTGGCTAATTCTTTATGTTCTCTTTTCACAGGCTGATTCCCAAACTCTTTTCGATTATGATCATCCATAGAAGCCGTTGACATATTTGATTGCTCATCTAATTTTCTAATCGTCTTTTGATCCTTTGATAATGCGAGCTTATGCCTGCTATAATCATTAAGAATAAAAATTAAACTTTAAGTATTTGACTCTAGACAAAAAGACAAATAATAATAATAATAATACCTTGAAAATGATTCAAAAGGAACCCCCGCTGACCACGGGGGTATTTTATCTTGATACATTAACGCAAATTTTGATGGCTTATAAGATAAAGCAGACGACTCTTGTTCCGACATTTTCGGAGCATTCCCAGATGAAGAACCGATAGATGAGGTTTCAATATTTTCTTTTTTGAGACAATCTGTCATCATTAATGAACTATTGAATATGTCATTTTCCACTTTTGATGAAATGGCAATCCGACTTTTTTTATATTTTATTGCGGGCGATTTATAATCTCTATTTTTAATTTTATTAGAAGGTTCACCATATTCATCGTGTGTAGAGAATTCAACGGATTTATTAAAAACCCTATTTTTTTTTTTATCATCAACTGGATTATCTTTGAAGATTTTATCGCCACGTCTTTGATGGTCCACCGCTTTTATTAAAAAAATATAGGTAAATACAGGAAGCCACTTTTCTTGCATAAAAATAATCAATACATAATGCCGATACAACATCCATACATTTCTTTGAGCTAGAAGCCTGATTATATGTACTTAATTCCTTTCTTTTCATGATCAATTCTCGCTGAATATGCTACAAGTACATTAATTATATTTTAATTCACTGAGTCTAAATAAAAGGGGTTATAATCAGGGTTGGCAATGGGTTCTGAATAAATTGTCAATGGATATTTCCATTGGGCCAATAGATATAGTCCATTGGCATTTGCTAAGCCACATTTTGGTCCATTGGCCAACCTAGGTTATAATACATGAATTAAAAAAAACGACGTACTGGTTGTTCGTCAGAATCTGAATCGTCATATCCATCATATTCTGGAGTAGAATCTTTTTTTGCCGCTCTAAATTTTTCAAATTCGCTTAATAACTCCGGGCAATTTTGTAAATTTTCTATCGGTTCCCATGAATTGAAATTATTATGATAACCTGAATTAATAGGATTTAGCAACTATTAGTCTTATCAATTTAAGAAACATTCATAAGTAGAAACATATATCGCACCTAGCCATTTTATCATATAATAACTCTTTCCATTCTCCCATTTCCAATCTATTATTTTTTCAACCTCATATTCTTTATCATTTTCTTCTTCTCTAATTTGTCTTTTTTTAATTTCGAGTTCACTTTTCATCTCTCGACTTCTTTTAAACCTACGTTTTTCCTCTTCATACCTTTTGCTTTTAGTTTCAGACATCTCATATGTACATACTTCTATTCCATACAAACATGAGACGTAATAATAAAATGGATTTGTTTAACTTTCAATACAAGAAATCGCGTGATAGAAAAAAAAAAAATCTATTACTGTCGTGGATCATAATATATATATAAAATGAAATTTGAAGTTTTTAAAGTTTTATTTTACCTCTTATACTTGTTTATTATTATAAATTCTAACTAAAAAAAAAAAAAATGCACCTCAAAAATTTGTATTTTCGGTGACTTGTCTATTTACGATCATTTTAAATAGGGATGTTAAGTGGTGCGTCTGGTTCGGTCCGGTTCGGTCCCCCCAAAAGTCCTAGTTGAAAACGAGTTCACCCCCCTGTCAAAAAATAGATAAAGACCGGTCCTACTCTAGTGGTTTAAATGTACAGA